GCCGTCAGCTCTCGCTGGTCTCACTCTGAGTGTTGTGTGCCATTTCCACTTCTGCCAGAGCGATTTCATTACTGTAACTAATTATGGTAAGTAACACGTATTTTGTAACTTTGAAAGTTTGAAAAAACGTTTGTTATTGTAATTCTCCTTAATTAACGTGCATACCAGCCAAAATGACGAGCAGGGGTTTTGAATCGAATCAGGGAAAAGAATATGTTGCTTCAAGAGGGACACACGCTGTACATAAAGGGTTCTCGCTGTAGTAATCATCAAAACTTACAGTACATAATCATTTTGCTTTACAAAGGGTGCAGCCCAAAGGCGTCACCATCTGTAGAATTCCACTGATGTTATCTTGTGAAATCGGCACCCCAGTGAAGATTAGCTATAAAACAGTTCCTGTAGTAGTTAGCCTTTATTCATTGTTAACATTAATTCAAAAGTTTCCACCGTACTTAAACACAGCTATTGGATTCTAGTTTCAGGTTAATCTATTGGATCTATTTTCAACTATATTTCACTTATATTTTAGCAAAGCATTCATCACTTGATATGGCCTGTTGATTTTACCTGCTTGTCTTCTCCCATACAGCATCTGGTCATGCATCTTAAACACAGTTGTCAGTTTGACACTGAGTTACATTGAGTAATGTACTTAAAATTCTAATGTATGTGATATTTTCACATATGCTTATATCTCCTGGTGACAGGTAGGTAGAGTAGGCACAGAAACCAGTTTATTACTTTCAATGTAATTGGCATTTCACAAGTAAATTTTCATGAGAACCTGTGGGGTAACTTTCATTTGCTTCTTGCTTTTAAAAACAAGTTAGCATCATTATATACATGTTTGCCAAGTTGTTTATGTTTCACTATGATTTAACACCTTTGCTCCCTTCATTGTTGAATTAAAGTTTACCAAGAATGCTAATACACAATTGACTTTTCCCTTTAATGCATCATATTACATCTCCCTACAGGTGCCTGTTGTCCACAAAGAAGAGGCCCAGCTGATTCCAGAATACACATGATACAGGTTAATATTTGTTTTACTTTTGGTATTTGTCTGAATAATGTCTGGTGTACTTGTTGTCAAGTTGTTGAAGACACTTATTTGTATGAGACATTTCTCCCTATAGAAAAAAAGTTAACGAGGAGAGTTACTTGCTTGATAACGGTGTTAGTAGCTACACCGAAATTTCGCTCATATTATATTAAAGAAGTTGTATATCCATAGAACCCTCCTCGTTGTTCATCACACCAACTTCTAAATGCCACTCAAAGAAGAAAACAAATGTCACCATATTTAAATTATGCTTCGCCATAGTTGAAACATTTGTTAAGAATAATGTTTTCTACCTTTGACTTACCCCAATGAATATGTTCTTTATGTGACATGTCTTTCTCCACAACAGTAACTTAAATCTGATAATGATACATTTTTCTCATAACTGGCAGTCATAAGATAATACTACCCTTGATCAGTTTGGATAGTAATACTCCACTGATGTTTTCCAGGATGAACACCTCTGAGGCAACAGAGAAAAACAGATGCTGTTTGATCAATTCTTTCCCTAGACTGTATCAGCTGACCCACTTAATGCCACGGGCCCTTCTTTATTGTTATTTCTGCAAGTCGATTGAAACCTGATTTTGGCTCTTAACTAAATAAAAGATAACATTCAAGGTAAAAAATAAATTTTTAATCTTGATGGAAACGTATGATAATAACAAGGTAAATACAGTTCTCTGTGTACAGAATAGAATGGACATACAAGTAAAGAATGAAATTCATCCTGTGTAACATTAAAATCACATTTGTCACACATCAATACATTGGAATTTATATTGTTATTATAACGTTGTTGTTGAACATTTAACTTATGGCTTAAACAGCAGAATTTGCATAAATGCGTATCAGGTCCTAGTTATGACAAAGTTCCCTATATATATTTTTCAGGTTCCAGGGCGGACTTCATTCCTCCATAGTCTTTTTAGAAAAGATCATGATGTTAGCCTAGAATGCCAATTTTGAATTTCAATAATAAAGCAGCTTTAACATTTCATAACATGATTTAGGATGTCGATTATCGTCCATATGTAATATTCTGCACAAATATTTGATATATCTGTCGTAATATACTAGCCACATAAAGAAAATGTGCATTGTCAAAATATTATCCCGGTTGATAAGTACGATAACAATGTCAAAGGTACATAAAACTTTAATGGAGGGATCATGAGACCATAACAAGTCAGGAGATTTTCAATTGAAAAGTCAATCACATTGGCGTCACGAATCCACAAGCGGGGCAGGGTCAAACGACCATGTCACCAGCTCAATAACGGGTATGTCCACCATCGGCATTTGAGAACAGCAGTGCATTGACGACGCATAGAGCCTATCAAACGTGCAAGGAAGGTTTGTGGAATGTCACGCCAGATTCTCTCAAGTTCTGTTGCAAGGTCAAGGACGTTATCTGGCGGATGAGCAAGACAGCGTAGACGTCGATCCATCTCGTCCCAAACATGCTCTATCGGGGAGAGATCCGGTGAATTTGCAGGCCAAGGCAGTAAGTCAACGTTGTGGTGTTGCAAAGAAATCCATAGCAACCCTTGCCGTATAAGGGCGGGCATTTTCCTGTTGGAATGTTAACCCAGGGCCATGACGTTGCAGAAAAGGAATTGCCACAGGTCGAAGAATCTGATCCCCTGTAGCCCACACCAGTTAAGTTGCCCTGAACAATCACCAAAGGAGTTCTTTGGCGTGCTGTTATTCCACCCCAAATCATCACGGAACCACCACCAAAGCGATTCCTCTCCAAGACACAGGCCTGTGCATAACGTTCTCCCACGCGTCTATAGGCACGTTGACGTCCATCACTATGGGAAATGTTAAACCTGGACTCATCTATACAAACAATATTTCTCCACCAAAACAAGGGTCTGCGGACATGATTTCGGCACCACATTCGGCGAGCTTGTCGATGACGTTGTGTCAGGATAGGCCGTATGGCGGGACGTCGTGGTCTGATCCCGTGATGACGTAAACGTTGTCGAACTGTGTTGGGGTGGATACGGCGAAGTCCTGGGATGGTTCGGGCAGTCATTACTGCAGTCTGAAACCTGTGGCGAAGATGGGTCACCCTTATCCATCTGTCCTGTCTTGGCGTTGTTACACGTGGACGTCCAGAACGTGGCCGATCGATGACGTCATATGTGTTCTGGTAGCGTCTCACCAGTGCAGAAATGGTGTTCCGGTGGCAGTGGAAATTTGCAGCCACTTGTCGTTGAGACATTCCCCCACGGACCATCCCAATGGCCTCATGACGATGTGCAGACGTGAGCCTTGGCATGCTATGCGTTTCAATAGCCGTTTAACTTTTTGAACGATCGCAAGGGCAGGGGTTGAGCTTTCCAAAGTGATAGTATTGTGCGGCATTCATTTGCTCTGTTTCTTTTTCCCGGAATGCACGTGCAAGAACGTATTGCACGTCTCAAGGACGAACCCAGTGACGTCACGGAACGTGGCGCGTGCATGCATGTTAGATACATGTCACTAATCTCTGAGTTTAAATCCTTATGTGTCTACACAGGTTTGATAAATTCAGATTTTAAATATTTGTATGCACAGTTTCTTTATGTGCCTAGTATAGTTAACGCATTGGAAGAAACATTTGTATTAACACACAGAAAACGTTTGAAAAAGAAACATTGGATTTTTTCAATGTGAGGACGATATTAATGCCCCCAGATTTCACTACCGTACAATAACATTTGGGATATCTTACTATCAAATATTGCTAAAGCAACTTTCAAAGATATATGTTGAAAATCTTTAATTATTTTAAATATAGGGAACGAGGCCTTTTTGGCCTGAAGACTTAGTGTTTCACATGTCTTCGACCATATAAATTTTGTGGTAAAAACAACACCTAGATATTTATAGTGTGATGCAACATTCTGATTTTGGTTTCCATTATAGAACAATTTTTCTGATTTCCTAAGATATCCACTCACTTTTCTAAATACTACTATACAAGATTTGTCAAGATTGACTTCTAAACCCCATTGTAAACCAATAACAGTGTCATCAAGTAAGGTAACATCATCTGCAAAGGCAGTAATAAAATATCATTTAAACCATCTTTGACACATATTCCTCTTAATCTACAATTATTCATTTCATCCACAAGTTCGTTGATAAAAGTATATAAACAGAGCGGGGCTAAGCATGTAACATGTCTTGCCACGTGTTATTTATCATCATTCACTTGATGGATTTTACCCGACAAAGGTTCCCATTTGGCATTTCTTGTGTCTGGAGTGAAATATTACCCAAGATAATGTACACCAATACCTGAAAGATGTATCACTTGTTAAAGAACATCCAGTTTTGTGGATATTATTGATGGATACATAAGATTTCAAATCTCTTATTTCCAACTATAATACTACTTACAATATTAACTTCGACCACAATTTTCATCAACTTTAACACAAGCTGATACCTTATGATACATATATCTATCAGCAACTTGAACATTTTACCATGGCCACCTTTGGTGAGAAGTACGTGTAAAGCTTATTTCTGTTTACAAATCAAAGGCTTTTTAAAGTCAATAAAGGTATAAGTACAAGGAAAGTAATTCATATAAGCTTTTCGTGCGCAATAATCGTAACGAGTGCGCGAAAGTGCGACAAAGGATTTCCTCCATTGCGGCCCTATGGAGGTGCTGCATAGCGCTCATGTTAGTGAAGGTTACTGAAGGTACATTCTAACCCGGACCTTCACGTGTACACACGTTACGTAACTACGTGGTTGGCGACGAAGATAAGTTTTACACAAGCTTTATTTATCGTTATAGAAAAAAATACCTTACATGACAACATCAGTGCCTGTCCTTGATAAGGTCGATTTACGTTGAGGTTTGATTGGAAACAAAATATGTGAAGCATTAGTATTGGTACTTCGAGTAAAATGTGACGCTGATACTTACCGCAAATATATCCTCTTGCACCTTATCCCTGGCAAAATAGCCCTGATATCTTTTGTATTTCGTCAAACAAAGGGTATCTCTCCTCATGCATTCACAGTGACCCGGCCCTAGTTAGATAGACCTTACATTTATTCAGAAAGGCCACCAAGCAGGCTGTTGCAAAATGCATAGACACATAATAGACTAACGGGAAGTGACAATGGAGGTCGTTGGTAGGACGTTGACGTTTGTTGTTTTATTGAGTTACCACATTGTCGCGCTGTGAACAGCTGCAACAGCAACAACACACGATGCCCTACCGGCATGTCGAGGTTATAGATTACCTCAACCAAGTATCCGTGCCTAACGCTGAATATAATCCAGATGTCACTTCACGTCCTGATACAACTACCTCACATTAAAACTTAACACATGCCCCATCTCCCAACCAAACATTGGAGAATTTCCATTAATAATAAATCGCAAGTCATGTATGGCTTACTCGCTAGAATAAAAGCCATTGGTCTAGTCACGTTATTTTTACCTGTTTTATCTTAATGTATTTAGTACATTCCTAATTCCAACTGGCTGGGGTGCTGGTTAGACATGTAATGTACATGTGTCACGTGGCACCATTACAAGACTGGCCTTCACGGATAAACAGACAATTCTTTGTATTATTTTGGACTTGACTCTTGGACAGGATTGTCAGATTGACTGTTGATACCGAGTGAGTGAGTTTAGTTTTACGCTGCTTATAGTAACATTCAAGCAATATCACGGCAGGGGGATGCCATAAATGGGCTTCACACATTGTACCTTCCCCCTGAAGAAATTGCACAGACTGACACGCCCATTAAAACGGGACACTATATTCTCCTTTTCTTTAACTGACATGACACGCTTCTGGCTGTTGGTGAATTGGCGTTCAACATAATACACTATAATGCAAACAAAAAACTGTACAATTGTATTTAAACTGATTTTATTATCCACATGTGTTAAAATAAATGATCACATATTTTCGATACTTAGCACACGTGTAATATACCCAAGAGGCCATTTCATGGGAAAGTTGAGACAATCACGTGACATCGGAATGCGGGCAGCGATATTGACCTTTGCCGTAGTTGTTTTCATACGCTTCTAGGCTATATTTAGATCAACTTCAACATTGAAACTGCGGCAAAACACAGTTTATCGTAATCATTGCCTTCTGAAGAGTAGGCCTAATATTGAAATTAACACACTCGCGTAGATGTCATATTGTATTTACAACACTCGTGCTAGAAAAATGAAATTTCACTCGCTCTCACTCGGGAAATACAATGTAATATTATTGTCAGTCTCTCGTGTTGTAAATACAATACGACATCTACGCTTTGGGACAAATCTCTATTTATTCATAAACTGCAGAGATCATAAACATTTCTGTAAATCTGACAACACATGATATTGTACCAGTCGGGAAAAGTATATTTGCATAAAAAGACATGTCAAATTGGACATCAAAATTTTTAAATTGAAATAACACCAATATATTCGTTCGTCGTTTAACTACGCACAAAGTAATATAACCTCGGTCTGTAAAATAACTGAATTTATCATCCAAAACTGTGTTCCACGGGAGATATTGCTTGTGTGAGATCAAACAATATCTCCTTGGAGATATCGTTTTGACAGTGGATTTTGTACAAAGCCCTGACAATGCTATGACGTCATGAAATTGATGACGTCACAATGCTATGACATCGCTGCACTGCAAGTCTGATGGCAGTACCTTGTTTGGAGATGTACATGTTTCATTGAAAACTAATGGTGATTTTTGATGATAAATAGAATCTCACCCTCGTGTCTTCTGATATCAAATATCTCAACACTCGGGTTAGAATTGGTCTTCAGCAACCCATGCTTGTCGTAATAGACGTTTAACGGGATCGGGTGGCCTAATTGCGTAGAACGATGCTCATGATGTTGATCACTGGATTCTCTGGTCCAAACTCGATTATTTACAGACCGCCGCATATAGCTGGAATATTGCCGAGTGTGGCGTTCAACAACAAATAATCCCGATCCCGTGAGTCGTCTTTGAAGTTGTACCTCGAATTTGTTCGTGATGTTGCATCAGAATAGCCACTAACCTCATATGCATCAACTCGCCGATGACGCTATATTGCACATTAATATAATTGAATGGAAACCCATAATCTGTCTCACAGTCCCTGAACCACAGGGCTTGTTTGTTACTATCAAAATTATATATATTCAGAAACTAAGCGTTAGTCTAGGAAACTCGATGAAATGAAATATATTCCCAATTGTTGTAGGCTACCGCACGGCCCTGTGGATTGAGTGAGTGAGTGACTTTTGTTTTACGCCGCTTTTGCAATATTCCAGCAATATCACGACAGGGAACGCCAGAAATGGGCTTCGAATTGTACACATGAGGGGTAAAACCCAGGTCCACGGGTCGACGAGGGAATACAAGGCTACCCACCACCCATGGCAATATTCATCACGGCAGAAGCTTCGTGAATTGTACCCATGTGGGAATAAAACCCATGGTAGAAGCCAGACCCCCAAATGGTGAAAATGTGGTGCAGTTCTGGCTACCGAATGGAATGTGATTTTTCACAATCAGGAATGATTTGGCTTTGATTAAAAGCCGGTTGTCATCAGCTACCGTGCGTGACTACCGTGTAGGGGCCCTTTTAAGGTGCAACATGTCATGTCAGTTATGGCAATATTTTAACCGATAACTGGATGGTTTAATTTAATAACTCTTGTTTGGTTTGACCGATTTTCATAACAAAAATTGTTTTGGAATGCTCAGACCATGATTTAAATTGTGGACAATAATATGACATATATGCTCATCGCAAAAATATTTTGGTAAGGTCAAAAGTCAGTTTTAATAGAAAGGGCATTTGATGAGAAAATGTGAGTTGAACTTTACAAATTAAAAGGTAATTTTTCCAAAATGATGTGTTTCTGATTCAGCTATATCATTTGAAGATCATATATACCTTTGGCTGGCATTGTATTCATGAAAAACCATTACAAGGAAATAAAGGTTGGTACTTTGTATTTAGATCAGCAAAACATAAGATAATTTCAGCTCCATGCTTTACAAAGTATCAACAATACTAAATATGTCAAAGACACTGTTGAACTATCATACAAATTTGCGTTTATTGACATTGTAGCAGAAACAACAATTCAGCTGATGTCAGAAGGAGATATGTTTTGATAAGTGTCAGTATTGCACTGACATGCTGTGAAACCTTTAAAGCAGATGGATAATAATATGAAATCCTAATGAAAGGTTTACAAGTGACATTATGGTGTTCCATTTTTCTGTTTACAATGTGAAATATTACGACTTTGGTTTTCTTTCTATATTTTTACACAATAATTGATACATTGTAAAAGATATGACACACTGATCAGAAAGGCGTTAAGGTATCTTACCACCAAATATACACACCCGTCATAAACCTCTGAAAAATACACAGTATTCCCAATACATTCCTTTTGATTGTAATATAGGTGATGTAATTTCCGACTCTTTTCTAAGTTTACTTGGGTTCGAAATATGAATATTTCCTTAGGTGGGAAAACATTTGTAAATGTGCAAGTTTTCATGGCTTGAAAAACCTTTGTGCATCATTCCGGATATCAAAGGTATGTATTTGAACACTTTTATATGCTCATGTTACCAGTACTAAAACAAAATGGTCACAGAAAATCTTGGTTCATATTGTGTTATTCACATTGATACATTGTAAAAAGATATGACACACTGATCAGAAAGGCGTTATGGTATCTTACCACCAAATATACACACAGTCATGTCATCAGAACACAAGCAACATTACCTTCATATCAATTAGTATTTATTGTTCTTAATAGTCATAGTGTATTCCTAGTTGACATGTTAGTCAATGTCAACATTGTCAAGATCACGGGAACATGTTTTATGTCCACATCCACATGCCGAAGCACACAACAGGTTCAACCTCTTGCAGTTACACCTACCTGTACATTGGCGTTTTTACATGCACAGATATGTTGAAGAAGGTCCACGGAAACGATTTAGTCTTAACTTATTTGCAACCTTATCACAGAGGAACAGAGGAATATTTGATGAAGATATATTACGAAAGAAACGTTCTGCTTTAAATACAAAACATTAAGTGCCTAGTTTTGTGGACAACTCAAAAGAAATTCCTAGATAATATTCATATAAACATCTTGCTTCTACTGTAACGTTCATAAAGAATTATATTTTGCGCGGAAAACCTTGAATCGTGTATACATATTGACAGTATTGAGTGACCTCGTCTAGATGGATACTAAAAGACGAACTGTCGTTCCATTCCCGATTTCAGTATATCGCATGACTACGTTGTCCTTCAAGCAGAGAGAGAACTGACAACTGACAATAGTTATCGCATCATGGAATTGGCTCACGTGTATCACTATCTTCATCAGCTGATGCACGTCGACAGTACAACGTCAGCTCTAACATATTGACAGACCTCATCTGGATGAACATTACCAAGTCAGCTGTAGTCAACTGCATTGTTCCAACAGATATAACGAAGCCACCAGCTGTGATCAGCAGAGTGTGTTTCAAATGAAGGACATCTCCTGCTTGCCCAGATCTATATATTTAGTTTCCGAAATACGTATGCTAATATTACTAGGATTAAGGTTTTTAAATGCGTTTCCGTCCTTGTAAGAACCACATTCGCACTGTATCACTGGGACCTTACACATGCCAGTAGTCTGTCTCATACTCCAAACTTTCGGCTCAGCCCCTTCTGTAATGCAATAGTCCAAAATGAAGCCAGTCTAGTTCTGAATCTCCGAACTCACTGGGGCTAATTCAGTATATACAGAGTTATATATTGCTATCAAAATTTCCTATTTTCAGAGGCTTCCGCTTGGTATAACGTGCCAGGATCCTGTAATTATGGACCCAAACATGCTCCGGATATGCTTATTGTTTTTTCAAGACCATATCTATGTTTCTGAATTTCTCCCACATTAAACAACTGTTGTTAGATCCAACATTAAACTTGCACGCTGTGTAGCCTTTTTATGGCATTGGGTTTTGTGCATGCGTTTGTTTATTATTTTCTTTGTTCCATTTGTATGGGCTGGGGCTATTCAAGATGAAATCCACCTAAGCAGGATTAATTGATTATTTTCTCACTAACACAGTGAGTAGCGAATGAAGAGACCTACTTTTTGTTTGTACCATAAGCTCCCGGTTTTTCCTGGTTACGTCAGTGTGTGTGTGTGTGCGTGCGTGTGTGTGTGTGTCCTGATTGGTGAAATGCCACACAACTACATCGTAATCACTATATTTATTCATGGGTAAATTTTCATAATGTTTGCACTGTAAACTGATCAACATGTAGATGCTTGATGGGCATTTAGAAGTTGGAAGATAACATAACAACGTATGGTATGGATTTACAACTTCTTTACTATTTACAACACAACGTTTCTAGGCTGCTTCTTAGTAGCCTAGAAACGTTGTGTATTTATGATATTGAATATTTGCTTGATATTTTATGGAATGTGGAAAGGTTAATCCAAGTACATTGTATGTACGATTGCTTGTGCGATTCCTTAATCAGGATGATTATTTTCTCCAATTATCCATGGGGTAGTGGAAATAGAGGAAAGATGGGAAGTATATGTTCAAGGTGTTAATGCGTTGATACGTCCAGACATCCAGATAACCTGCAGCGTTGCTTGAAATACTAAATCAATACATTAGAAAACAAGCTTACCTAAAAGAACTTTGAAAAGTAAAACAACACTGTGTGAAAGTACCTGTGAGCAATGCAGTTTTAAGCAGGTTCCGATCACAAGTATTTTTACAGATGTTTTGTTTTTGATTGAATGCATGAGTTATGAATCAAGAACTGCGCTGTGTAATGCATGGATGCGAAACATGTTGCAAACTGTAATGTTGTTGTCAGTGAACTCCCAATAAACCAGGAGAGAGTAATAACATATTGCATAGCCTAAACAACTATTAAACCTCAATGTGAATAACACAATATGAACCAAGATTTTCTGTGACCATTTTGTTTTAGTACTGGTAACATGAGCATATAAAAAGTGTTCAAATACGTACCCTTGATATCCGGAATGATGCACAAGGTTTTTCAAGCCATGAAAACTTGCACATTTACAAATGTTTTCCCACCTAAGGAAATATTCATATTTCGAACCCAAGTAAACTTAAGAAAGAGTCGGAAATTACATCACCCATATTACAATCAAAAAGGAATGTATTGGGAATACTGTGTATTTTTCAGAGGTTTATGACGGGTGTGTATATTTGGTGGTAAGATACCATAACGCCTTTCTGATCAGTGTGTCAGTATTTCTAAAATATAGAAAGAAAACCAAAGTCGTAATATTTCACATTGTAAACAGAAAAATGGAACACCATAATGCCACTTGTAAACCTTTCATTAGGATGTCATATTATTATCCATCAACTTTAAGGGTTTCACAGCATGTCATTGCAGCTGGAGCGTGAAGTGACACATATATAAACAATATTGACACTTATCAAAACATATCTCCTTCTGACATCAGTTGAATTGTTGTGTTTCATGCATGCAGTGCCAACCAAAGATATGTATGATCTTCAAATGATAGAGCTGAATTATAAAAAGCATAATTTTGGTAAAATTACCTTCAATTTGTAAAATTGATAAAGTTGCAAATAAGTTAAGACTAAATGGTTTCCGTGGACCTTCTTCAACTTCATAACTGTGCATGTAAAAGTCAATGTACAGGAAGGAGTCGAAGAGGTTGAACCTGTTGTGTACTTCAGCATGTGTATGTGGACTTGAAACATGTTCCCGTGATCTTGACATTGTTGCATGGAGCTGTTACTGTTGAACAGAGATTATATAATATTTTGCTGATCTCAATACCAAAGTAACTTTTGTTTCCTTATAATGTTTTTTTCATGCATACAGTGCAAACCAAAGGTATATATGATCTTCAAATGATATAGCTGAATTAGAAAAACATAATTTTAGAAACAATTACCTTTGATTTATAAAGTTCAACTCATATTTTCTCATCAAATGCCCTTTCTATTACAATTGACCTTTGACCTTACCAAAATATTGATGCGATGAACATATATGTAATATTATTGTCCACAATTTTAAATCATGATCTGAGCATTCCAAAACTACTATTTTGATGAAAATCGGTTACTCCAAACCAAAGTTGTTAAATTAAACCACCCAGTTATTGGTTAAAATATTGCCATAACTGACATGACATGTTGCACCTTAAAAGGGCCTCTGTACGGTAGTCACGCACGGTAGCTGATGACAACCGGCTTTTAATCAAAGCCAAATCATTCCTGATTGTGAAAATCACATCCCGTTTGGTCGCCAGAACTGCACCACATTTTCACCATTTGGGGGGTCTGGCTTCTAGGCCGACTTAGTTTAGCTACGTGACGGGGATACATACACCAGGGTAGAGAACAGAACCGTCAGTTTCAGTATGCAGGATAAAGTGTTCAGTATCAGAACCTTGTGTGTACAGGATAAAGTGTTCAGTATCAAACACTGTGTGTACAGGATAAAGTGTTCAGTATCAAACCTTGTGCGTACAGGATAAAGTGTTCAGTATGAAACCCTGTGTGTACAGGATAACGTGTTCAGTATCAAACACTGTGTGTACAGGATAAAGCATTCGGTATGAAGCTTTTCAGTATACAGGATAAAGCATTCGGTATGAAGCTTTTCAGCATACAGGATAAAGCATTCGGTATGAAGCTTTTCAGTATACAGGATAAAGCATTCGGTATGAAGCTTTTCAGCATACAGGATAAAGCATTCGGTATGAAGCTTTTCAATATACAGGATAAAGCATTCGGTATGAAGCTTTTCAGCATACAGGATAAAGCATTCGGTATGAAGCTTTTCACTATACAGGATAAAGCATTCAGTATGAAGCTTTTTAGCATACAGGATAAAACATTCGGCATGAAGCTTTCAGTATACAGGATAAAGCATTCGGCATAAAGCTTTTCAGTATATAGGATAAAACGTTTAGTGTTAAACTTTCTGTATACAGGTCCAAACGAGAAGAAATAAGATAGATGGAAGCTCATGTGATACAATTATTTGGAAACATCCCTGTTAGGAACGAAAACTATCCTCGCACTGAAAGCATTTTCGGAATTCTGATTGTGGGGATGATACAATTACCAAGACAGATTTGGATTCCATTTTTGTGTTTGATAAGCTGCATATTTTTGGTCTTTTATAGCTGGGTATTTAGTCGTGCCATGCCATAAGCCAATTCGCAACAAGGAAGTTTGAGTGAGAAAGTGAGTGTAGTTTTACGCTTCGGCGGTCTGTAAATAATCGTGTCTGGCCCAGACAATTGGGAACCGATGACATGTGTCAACCAAGCCAGCGAGCCTGACCATCCGAACCCGTTAGTCGCCTCTTACGACAAACATGCATCTCTGAAGATCAATTCTAACCCGGATCTTCACAGGTCAAGGAACAGAAAACCGAACCAGAACACAAAAACTTCGACATTTATCCCCTTTGGCTGTAGGTGAATTGGCGTTAAAAAGGTGTTGCAAATATTCACAACGATGTCACACCGCACTTTTTGTGGTCAGTGAACCCTGGCTACAGTCGTTTTGGAAATACAGAAGTCAGATTCGATAACCAGAATGCATCGAAAATGTCATCTTCTACCGTGATTATTTAGATCAGGTCTTTACGCAGAGATTAATGGAGTCTTGATTTTAATCAGATTGTTTCACTTATATTTTTAGTACATTTTAATGAACTGCTTCCACCTCAGTAAGGGAACATCCTTATTTACCCAGATACTGACTTCCATGAGATCGCTGACTCAGATCGTCTCCCTCAGATCATAAACAACCCCACCCCACCAACGGATCACTAACACTTAACTGGTTCACTTGCGTCACAAAATCGTTAATTTCTATAGTGCTATAATTCAAAATACATATTACTTTAATTCACTTGCAACACTCATCTAATGGTCAGTCCCTGAATTATCACGTTGTCATCTTCCAGAACGTCGACCGTCGACCGATTTGAAAAAGTTATCTCCTCCGAGTAATACCTTTGCTTCATGAGCCTCGACGTCGAGTTTGATGGCGACTTTCTTCAGTTTGAAGACTTCTAGCAAGTCGTCGAGCAGCACGGCCTGAGCTGTCTCGCCTGATGACGTTGCGTTTTTAACATATGTTCCGTCGACGTTTCCCTCGTACGTTCCGAAGCCGACCTTGAACCTGGTCGACGACAAAAAGCGTTATGAATTACATAAACATCCGGGTACTTCCCAGCGCGTACTGAGTTGCACAGTTTCTGTACATTTATTAATAAGGGCTCCACAAACAACACCGTCCGTCCAAGCTTGGCCATCGTTAATCCATAAACGCCAATATTGCCACCTATATCAACAAACTGCAGGTCGCCATCTTGTTTTACAATGTCGTGGAATCTCCTGACTTGGTCGTGCTCCCACACCCTGCCGTCAATGACATACCTCGACACAATCACATCAATCTTCTTTGGGTGGACAGAGATTGGCAGGTCCCCCGCTACAGAATGAAGCACGGCCTTCGCGTAATGCTCACCCCCATCGCACGTACCATCGTCACGTGACCAGTCTGTGGCTGACCTCGTGAACACAGCGGCGCCGTCGAGTTCGGACTTCAACAGGAAGTCACTTTTCCCAGAAGGTGCGGGTTTGTCAGCTGGTTTCTTGTCACCGACAGCAGCAGCAACAGCAACAACCCCTATCGGCACTTGGGAGACCATTGACGTTCTGTTGACAGCTTGCCTGTTGGTGTGAGACAAGTTAAAATATAGAATGGTCCAGAGTGATGCAAGGACAGCGAGACAGAGCAGTGCGTTGGTTCGGTTGCAGGTAATTGTCAGCCTCATCTTGATCCAATAATGCCTTTCACCTCTTCCCCAAAATTGACTTCCACAACTTCTCTTCTGGTATTCTCTATCCAAATCAATTTCCTGCCGTGAAAAGCATTTTTGTTAAAGGTACACTACCCAGGCTGCCTTTCAAACATGAATCAATGTTTGTAGATGTTTGTGTGCACATACCAACTGTCTGCAAAGTGATGATGGAAGCAAATAAACCATGTATCTAAGTATTCGGCTATCTACAGATATGGAAAGATAAGATTGCTCTTTTAGTGGACACCTGGTGTCATCACTGATTTTCAGTGATTCATTGACACATTTTTTTCACAACTATTTTGTGGTTCATGCTGAAGAAAATATATTTCAACATGTATATGGATTTATTTTTATTATTTTGAGAATGATTATTCTGTGGCGTTGATGTTTTTTCATTTTATTTTCAAAACGAAATATTGATCTGTTATGTACAACGCTCGAATCTCAAGTCCATCGCCATAACGATATTTGATCTAAACTCGACACTGTGCTGTGAGACAAGATCACGATAGAAGCAGCGCCTATATGTATTTTTCTGGCTTATGCATTATAACGTTTCATATCATTGTCATTTAATTACCTTTCAGATGATAGCAAAATAACCAACAACGAAATGACAACTTTTGTATATGTAGCATGCTCTTATAATGCAATTGCAACTAATATCCCTTTTAGCAACATTCCACGACCGGGAACACCAGAAATGAGCTTCACACATTGCCCCTGTTCATCCAGCAGAAAATGGGTACCCGGTGGGATAAGTCATTTGATTATTAGCCTTCTAGCAGCTCACAGGCAGTTTGGGTTATCCGGGGTAATAATTATCAGATTGTAGCACTTTGAGCTTGCCCCTCCGTGGTGCGGAACTCAGCGCATTACAAGCGCCCTTATCATTATTACGCACGTGGAAAATCGAACCCAGTCTTCGGCGTGACGAGCGAACGCTTTGACCACTGGGCTTCGACCCTTGTCTCGGAGACATTCGTGAACTTGGTCATGGCTTCCGATACAAGATGCCCGAGTCACCGAGAAAAAAAGCTGATTGCAAAACAGGTTGTTTGGGCCCATGTCCATGAAACGTGGTTGGCGGAGGTGACGTCACAACAGTTTACCTGTATTTGATTCAATACTCAATACTCTCGCTGTATTTAATGTGGTCATCTGTTTGAGTGTTGATATAGTGCTGTCATCTTCTATTTAGTCGCCTATGTCAGTTTAATCTACATTTGACAAAGACGACAACTTCCGATTGGGTTGCGTTTTTAAGATTGTTGCGTAGATCGATGCTCATGCTGTTGATCACCCGTGAGGATCCGGGTTAGAATCGGTCTTCAGTAACCCATGTTTGTCGTAAGAGGCCGCGTCATACCAAAAGACGTTAAAACATGGTACTTGTTGGTCCCTACCTGACGCTCGGCATTAATGGGTGCAACAAGGGCTGGTCGGCACGGAGTCAGTATAATGTGTCTGAGTGGGGTATTCATGCTTCACTGCGGCATGGTATCTCAGTGGGCTAGCACTATAAAACCAGCTTCAGTCTGGGCTAGTACAAGCAGCCACACATACACATACACACGCATGCACGTCGTCAAATGAGCGAAATATTCTCAGGCAGGACGTTAAACCCAATTTCATCTCACCTAACCTCGGGTGGTCAGGCTAGCTGACGTGGTTGACACATGTCATCGTATCCCAGTTGATGCTTATGCTGTTGATCCCTGGATTGTCTGTTCCAGACTCAATTATTTACAGATCGCCACCATATAGCTGGAACATTGATGAGTGCGGCGTTAAACAACAAACCACCAACCAATCATGCTGTTGGTCACTGGATTGTCTGGCCCTGACTCGATTATCTACAGACCGACTCCGCATAGCTGTAATGTTGCTGTAAGGCGTTAAACAACCAATTGCAACCAGCCAACCAACCAATCTCACTATAGTGTAGGCCACGGAGTCGTGTGTTCTGCATCGTGTCAGCTGGCTGAAGCCACTTGGGTATTCCTTTAAACGCAGTCACAAATGGTTCAGTTCTGTCAGTAATATCCATTCATTTACCCATTAATATATTCACAGCGCACATTCAAAAGTTTTCTGTATTAAAGTCTTTGTCACGATAATATCATCGTTATTGTGCTTTGCAGCAAACAGCTGGTCATTATCATGGATGGTATATAATTCCAACATTCACGTAATTTCTTCGGTATACACATGACTACTTGTTAGTCATTGCCATTGTTTTTTATGACCGAGGTTGCTTTTGAACAATGGCTCTTGAATGATCTTGTATTATTCGTTTTGCATTCGAACCCGTGAAGGTCCGGGTTCGCAGGAACCTTCAGTAACCCATGCTTGTCGTAAGAGGCGACTAACGGGATCTGGTGGTCAGGCTCGCTGGCTTGGTTGACACATATCATCGGTTCCGAAATGCGCAGATCCATGCTCATGCTGTTGATCACTGGATTGTCTGGTCCAGACTCGATTATTTATAGACCGCTGCCATATAGCTGGGATATTTTACTATAGATCTTACAGATCTTATAATAAGGTAGATTCAAATAAAACTCTCACTCACTCATTCATTCACTCATTAGATAATGAACTGAATAATGACATTTGAGAACATAAGTGTGTGTATGCGTTAATCATGTTCGTATTCTACTTTCACATAAGATCTTAAGACATGTAAAACACTGAGGATGGTTGTTTATTTGTTGAGTCAAGTGCACAAAATGTTTCCAGAAGTATCAAAACCTGAACTGCGAATGAACAGGAAGCTGAGATTTGTTGTTGTTGATTTTGCTTTTTGTTTTGTTGGTTTTCTTAAAACAAGAAATCAGCATATAACATCTCCCTGTCCTCATCCTGCATGATGTGAACACTTCAAGACACGGCACTCATCCCCTACCTCAGTAAGTCAGTTTACACATGAGACGTTACAAACGTAAGGTGAGTGAGTGAGTGAGGTTAGTTTTACGCCGCTTTTAGCAATATTCCAGCAATAACAGGTCAGTGGACACCAGAAATGGGCTTCACACATTATACCCATGTGGGGTACTACCTCCGTGGTGGAGTGGATAGAGCGTCCATCCGGAGAACGGAAGGTTGCGGGTTCGGTCCCGACCGCGTCATACCAAAATGTGTTACTTGTTGGTCCCTGCCTGGCGCTCGGCATTAATGGGTACAACAAGGCTCGGAGTCAGTATAATGTGTCTGAGTGGGGTATTCATGCTTAACTGCGGCATGGTATCTCAGTGAGCTAGCACTATAAAACCAGCTTAAGTCTGGGCTAGTACAAGCAGCCACACATACACACGCATGCATGTCGTCATATGAGCGAAATATTCTTAAATATGACGTTAAACCCTATTTGACCTCATCTCACCTATGTGGGGAATCGAACCCGGGTCTTAGGCGTGATGAGCGAACACGCTACCCCACTGCCCCACACGTAAGGTGAGGTATAAAGGGGTATAACATCGTGTTCAAGACTGTGTGCTGTGGATGTTGCTGTTATTGAGCTGACCAGTGCTTTCGTCTTCCTCACGTACTTTAGCCGCCAATCTCGGGCCAGAGGTACGATTCATTACACCCGGAAACAGTCTCAAGGATTGTGAAATTCGAAGCTCGCGTTAATGAAACATTTCTGTGTTTAACACAACATTATTATGGAAAAGTATTAGTGCCACAAACTAATATTGTTTTCATCTACATTGAAGACACATTCTCCTTCGTAGTTGATACTTTCATACGTTTTGGCTAGTTTCATTACCATGGGTGGTGCTTTCATTCTCATAGGGGATACTTTCATCTACTGAAAGGTTACTTTCATCTCCTTAGAAGACGCATTCCTCTTCGTAGTTGAAATTATTGTCCTCATTGTACGTATGTTGCAACACTTTCAAAGTGAAAATTAAGCTTACCGGATTTTTAATCGTAGTAATATTGTTCTTTTAAAATTTCTGCTTCACCTTTCCTACAATCGCCAGCGGCTGAAGGGATGGTGTAAATCCAACTAGGATCCATGCAGGTAGCAAAAGTACTGTAAGTCCCCATGGACCCTAGTATGGTGATCCACCTTCAGTTGTTGTCGATCTATAGCCAGTTTTTATATTGTATCGTCCTCTATAGTTGAAGTATTTTAGATTTAATTACTAGTTTTATTAACATACTATATGTGATAATCTAGTAGGTTTCACTGTCCTTTGTCGACAGATATTTTAAAATGATTACCTTGTTTTCATAGCTATATGGCTGTAATATTGCCGATGCGATGTAAAATTTTAACTCACTCACTCAATCTCCGTAGTTGATACTTTCATCTACAGAGAGGCTAGTTTCATTTACGTAGTTGATACTTTAATCTTCACAGGTGATACCTTCATCTATTGAGTGGATATTTTCATCTACATAGAAGATACTTCTTCGATTTCATGTAGGGATACTTTTATCTTCGTATAGGGAACTTTCATTTCAATATATGATTATATAATCGTGCTTGTCTTTTCTGAAACCGTTATTATATGCCGTGAAGTTACAAGTGCCAAGTTGAACTTGAAACAAACGTTCATCAAAGTTGGAAGTCAAACATATCCAGCAATAGATGATACCCTTTCCGACATAGATACTAGTACCATATACGTAAATGTTAGTTTCATCGGCGTAGAAGTAAAGTATCTATAACGTACATGAAAGTATCTTTAACAAAGATGAAAGTATCGTCTACGTATTCATATGATCTACGGAGAATACGCTTCCATAAATTATGATATTTTAACAGTATGGATTGAAACACAATTTCAGCGACAAGGAAAACGAAGAAACAAACACATTTATGAAACTAACTATTGACGAATATTAGACGCAATTCAACAAGAACATTTTTCAGAGTGGAATATATACTCAGCAGCAAAACTACACCAGTACGAATTCAAAATTAGATAGGCACTGTAATCAAATCATTACAGGAA